GCGTCCCGAGGGCCGACACTGGCGCTTAGAGGGAAAAGTTCATAATTCTGTGGATAGAGGCTGAAATAGGGACGGGTTCCAGCGGCCGGCGGGGGAAGGCCGAGCTCATCACGGGCTCGTCACGGGCTGACACCGGGCAAGGTCACGTCCTTCAGAGGGGCTGACACTGGCGAAGGATGGCAGCCACCTCGTGGAAGGCAGCGGCCACGGAATCGGATGGAGCGTTCAGGATGAAATCCAGGGGCCGTTTGCGCAGGTGGGTAGACTGTCACCGGACTTTTTGGGCCAGGGAGACTGTCTTTTGTTTACTGAGAAGGAGCCTGTTGCTTGCTGATAGCAGCCTGTTTGCTCGGGAAGCTCTCAGGTCAGGCGAGGGTCTTTCGGGTCTCAGGGACTCAAGCTTACTGCATAGGCCCAGTCCTGAATGACAGAGGGGCTGGGGCCACACAGGGCAGGCCTGAGGGAGGGCTCTGGTTTGAGTGACGGAGTCCTGCCCACTTGCATTCTGCTCTGCTGGCCTCTGTACTGCCTCCGAGTTGAATGACGGAGCCCCTGGCCGCTGGATGGGGCCCCCGGAGCGGGCTCGGCCTGGTCCTGAGTGACAGGCACGCGCCCCGCCCACCAGAGCCTTCTGCGCAGGCGTGCGGAAGGCCGGCTGGTGGGCGGGCCAGAGAGCCGCTTTCATTCAGTCTGCTGTCCTGCGGCTGAGGGTGGGGCCCGGCCTGTCTGCTCCGCAGCAGCAGATCCCGCGGGGTGATGGATTTGGGGAGAAACTGGAGGAGTCTGGCTGTGTCTGTAAGATTCGGGGTCTGCCCAACTTGGGGGCTCTGGAAACAAGGGGTTTTAATCGAAATCCTTATAGAGCGAGCCAGGGGTGGCCCCGATGGGGCGGTTCTGGGGGGTCGAGTGCAGAGCTGTCGGAGGGAGCTACCCCCTGTGTGGGCGGGCGGCCTTCGGCCGAGAGCCTGGCTGGGGCCGGCGGAGCCCCAGCTGCCGGGCTGGAGCCGGGCCGCTGGAGGTCTCAGGCCCCTGCCCCACCCCCTTCGCGGTGGGGGGGCGAGCAGAGTGACGCAGGATCCGGCTTCAGTTAGTCTGAGCCGTCCGCTGGCAGCTGACTGGAGCAGCGGTGGTGTACAGAGCCTCGCTGAACACAAGTCGCTTTTAATCCATAGTCTGTGAACCTTACCGAGACGCGCAGGTACCCAGGCCACAGCTGCAGCCGCGAAGCTGCTTCCCGCAGCCTGGGGTGACTGAACAGGTGGCGGAGGTGCGCCGCCCATTGGCAGCAGGTGGATAAGCACTGAGTCGCCGCACAAGCGCAGGAAGTGGTGACGCTGGCACATCGGAGTGATGCGGGCACCGAGGTTGTAGTACAGTCTTAGGTCCACAGCAAGGGTCAGTTTCCGGTCCTGCTCTGCTGTCAAATGGCTGAAAGCGCTGGAATTTCCATTCTTTTTTTTTTTTTCCTTTTTGTTGCAAGGTCTTGCTCTCCATTTCTGACTGGCCTTGAACTCACTAGCCCTGGCTGGCCTCGAACTTGTGATGATCCTCCTGCTTCAGCTTCCCAGGTGCTGGGATTATAAACGTGGACCACCACACTCCGCTCCATTCTTCCTGACGGGCTCCTAGATTGTAACAAGATCCCTAGGCAGATTTGTGATGGTTTATGCTGATTTGTGATAGTTTGTCCTGAAAACTAGTAGCATCGTGAAGATTAAGAAAGGCCTGAGAGCAGAGTGCAGAGCACTGTATGTGGTGTCTAGTTAGCCCTAGAGAAATTCCTTGGGTTGACTGCGGCCCACCCTTGCTCTAGAGGAGAGGTCGGTGCCAATGTCACTCGGGTCCTTGAGTCCCGAGACTCCTGTGCCTGGGCAGGCGGCTGCCCACCCTTCTGTCCTCTCTGGGCCTCTCCTGTCCGGGAGATGAAGGTGGAGCCGTCATGGGCTATTTCCCACCTGAAGAGCCCAGGGACCGTAAAACTTGGCCTCACGTTTCCTTTTCCTTCCACAGCTCTGCCGTGCCCGGCTGCCCCTGTTGGAGACGCCAGCAGGAGAAGAGGAGGGCCGAGCACGGCTGGGCCAGGTGAGCTCCCCCCCCCACTTCCGCCCGGCTGGGGAGCAGCCTCATGCTTCCCTCTGCGCATGTGTGCTCGCCCTGTCAAGAAGCAGGAAGCTCAGTCTCACCCATCTTTATGCTCAACCTTTCTCTGATACCAGCTGCACCTTCCAGCCTCCTCTTTCTCTCCTTGTATGGTTTAGAAGCAGGAGAGGTCGAGCGTGCGCCGTCGGAGGGAGGCAGATCCCATGCAGGGTCCAGCAAGTTAGTGAGGTGGTCTGGTAAGCCGGTGGGCCTCAGTGCTCCCCAGGTCGGCGGCAGAGAGCTGACCTGGACCGGACGGTGTTCAGGGGCCCGCAGGCTCCTGAGGGATGGAGAAGTGCGAAGGGCGGCCTGGCTGACGCCCATCCAGGCCGGGCCTTCCTGGCTGATGCCACTCCAGCCGGCCTGCCGGGTGTGCCGGCCCGGGAGAGTTTGAAATCCGCCTTCACCAAAGGACTCCCGTGTGTAGGACTGTGTGCGCTTGGGAGGCAGGCGCCAGAACCACTGAGCTAAATCCCGGGCCGGAGACTTTCTTTTTTTTAAAGCTTTCCTCTACACAGATTTATTGAACATAAAATTCTATATACAAAGTAACGTGGACACGCTGCCTCAAAACACGATCCTCTCCTACTAATATCCATAGGTTGGTCAAAAAGCAACTTACTCCAAAATAAATAGAAAAATGCCCAATACACATCAGATGAATGGCCTAATCACTGGAACTGTAATAGTTTTACAAGGTATTTAACAAGTAGGCCTGAGTTCCAATGAAAGGGTGCTGAAGAACTGACAGGAGACAACAAGAGGCCATTTTGTGCACTGCCACCGTGATGCTGTCATGTTTGTGGATCATAATGTTCCCATCATCTGATTCTAGACACACCACAGGAATATGAGTGGGCTCAGAGGTCAGTTTAGCTGTGCCAGACAGGTATCACCCCAGCATGATCATCTGATAGAGTCCCCTGGCAATCCAGATTAAGTCCTTGTGAATCTGTACACAGGACTCCAACAATGGATGGATTCTTCATTATATCCTCCAAGTGCTGCTTTAAAGTCACTTTCATCCTGCCAGCAGTGGTCCACCTTAACCCAGGACCCAGCCTCCTGAAGCCCAGGAGACTTAATGAAAACTACACTGACACAAGAGTTGAAAAGCTAAGACGTTCCTCCTCCTTCAGGTCTGGTTTAGTAGTTCATGGTAGGAGGTGACTGGCAGCAGGGATCACAGAATGTGTGTGTGTGTGTGTGTGTGTGTGTGTGTGTGTGTGTGTGTGTGTGTGTGAAAGCAGAGCCAGATGCAAGGCAGCTTGGAGTGCCACTGGGGATCAGCAGAAGACCAGGTGCTTCTGTCCCATGGGAGACTCTCTCCCACAGGGAGATGGGTGATGAGCCTTTGGTCCGTCTTCAACAGGCAGGATCCACTGGTTGTCAGGATATGGTTGGTGGAGTCCCACTGGCTTGGAGGACATCTTGTCCCTGTAACGTAGCTTTGTGGGCAGTAGTCTCGAACAGCTGTGTTGATGGTAAGTGTGAAAACGTAGGCTTTACTCCCTCTCATCTAAATGTCGGGGAGTGCTCGAGGATGGCGGCAGTGAGGTTGCACTGCAGGGCGCTAGGTGCAGGGCGGCACCAGGTTGAGGTAAGGATACAGCCATGACCTGGAGGTAGACACTGAGGCAGCTGTCTGGGTGCATCCCACCTAGGGACACAGTCATTCGCAGAAATGGGTCGAGCAGGGGTGGCACTTCTCTCTCCAAGAGCCTGTGGGAGCCTCCGGTCAGAGCTGCCCAGGACTTTTCCTATCACCTCACCTGGTCTGAGCTGTGTCCCCACTGTGCCCGACCCATGGCTTCCTTGCTTGAGGGTAAGATTTCCCCCACTTGTGGCATAAATTTCCAGGCCCATGCTCTTATTTTCTACTCATTTCTGTGAAACTGAAATACAGTGGTGTAAAATATCCAAAGCGTGGTAACAGCATCGCAGCACAGACCTCAGTGGCAACACTGCCACCCAGTGTACAGTGGCTCTAGCTGTGGCAGCAGGAAGGAAGCGCTTCGTGTAGAGAAGGTTGCTTCTGGCCTCATTCCTGGGAACAGGCCCTGCAGAGGCTGAGGCACAGCGCAGGCGGCTTGCTGTGGCTCACATCACTGGCTGTCTCCCTCCCGCCCTTGGCCTTTGACGGCCTCCCCGGCCGCTTGGCCGCTCCTCAGCTCATGCAAGGCTCCTCCATTGAAGAAAGAGCAGCGGGGATAAGTGGTGTGCCCATCTTAGCAGTGCCAGGGGAGGTGATGGAGTGGGCGGGAGGGGGCCGAGTTGTGGGGCCACAGGAAAGGAGGGCTCCAAATATAACGAACAGAAACAAAACAGCAACCAAATTTACTTCCAGATTTTTATATTGATATTTTTTCATGATTATGAACTTAAAATAACATTGTAAATAGAAATGGAAAAAGTTTTCCTCTATTAACCATTTTTTTCCTAATAGAATTCCTCATCGAGTAGTTTTCACACATGTTTACATGGGAGTTTTCTTCTCATTTGGTTTGTATTTACTTCCATACATTGAGGTAGCTATACGGTTGTCGTGTGAGATCCTTCAGTTCCTTACACATTTCAATCTCAAGCTTCCCATCTACAGCTTAGCATTTTGAAAACTACATTGTTTCATTGTGTATGTTTTTCCTATAGACACGTGAATTAGTGTATCTGTAGTAAGAACAACACAGATACATGTTTTGCAAGTGACAAATTTGACTGGTAGGTGTGGTTTTGTACTTTCTACATTCATTGTGAAGTGCCTGAATGTAGTACCATATTTTATGCTTATAGTCAGGAAATAAAGTTGTAAAATTTCCTGAAAACATGACTTAATGATTAGGTAGCATTACGTTAAAGTCTTTGTTCTCATTTTTGTTTAATGAAAACCTAGGAATGCTGCATTTTGAGTGCAATGACTTACTTTTTAGTTAGAATGAAGTGTATTTGTCATTCTGTCCCGTGGCTCCAGCCTTCCACTAATGTGTGGCTGAGCCACGTGATTCCTCCAGTGGGGTATCACACATTGCTGACCTAGGGCCCTAACTCCTGTGGAAACACGGTCCAGCAGCAGGTCAAGCACTCCAAAATGTTGGTTTTCCACTTTTTGTTGTTGTTGTTAAGTTAGCCTTTACAGTTCAGTCCTAAGAAAGTTCTTAGTTTGCAGTTAAGTAGTTAATTTCTTTTGTGATATAAAGTTCTTTCACTACAAATTAAATCTGAGTGTGTATTTGGTGGGGGTATCAGTTTCTCGGCTCTTTTCTATCCCAGGGCTGCCTTTGTCCTTGTACCCATGACCTTCCCTTAGAAAGAATGAATTTGCAAACAAACAGTGCCCTGCCGTACACCCACCTTCTTATACAGTAGTCTTGATATTCCTGCCTGTTTATTCTTTCAGAAGAACTTCATTCTGACTTTGTCAAACTCTTCACTAGGAGAACAAAGCTTTTTTTATAATTTACATTTATATTCTTTTATTTAGGACTTGTGTTTTCCCTTGGAGTTTTAGATACTTTGTTAAACATATTTATAAGGGTTTGTTTATTTTGCTCTGAACGGGATTTCCCCCTTGCTGTGTTTAACAATAAACTTTTTTTGCCTGGATGTGGTGGCACACACCTGTAATCCCAGTACTTGGGAGGCTGAGGCAGGAGGATCACTGTGAGTTCGAGACCAGCCTGGGCTATATAGTGAGTTCCAGGTCAGTCTCAACTACACAGGGAGATCCTGTCTCAAAAAAAAAAAAACAAAACAAAAAAACAAAAAACAAAAAAACCCAAAAGCAAGCAAATAAACAAAATAAGCAATAAACTTTTTCAGTTCAGAAGAAGGCTATCCTATTTCTGCCTTCCTTCCCTGAGTTGCACAGCCAGGACCTCCGAGGTGATCTTGACTGGTGGCAGTGGTAGCAGCTTCCTTTCTTCTTCCGCACCTCTGGTGGTGTAGTGATTTGCTTGCATTTCCAGGAGATAAATCTTCCCGTGCTTCTATGGCCTCCTGGTCTTTACATGTCCGCCTCACTAGGCTTTCACAAGGAGAAGCGTGGAAGTGTGCGGTATTGCTTCCTAGCACGCAGTGCCATCCCCACCTCGGCAGCTCTGGAGTTGTCCCTGTGCTGCCAAGCCAGCCTGCCACGGTCCTGGGCTCTACTTCTAGACTTGGCTGGTCTGGATATATTGTGTTTTGCATTTACAGTATGTCCAAAGAACTGTTTATTGAGTGCCTTCTATAAAAATACAGTGCTGAAAAGCCACAGAACTTGTCCTCTGGGGCCCTGTGGTGGGCACAGTGCAGCCCGCCGTCTGGACTGTCCTGGGCAGACTGCCCCCTTGGCCTCAATGTGTCACCTGCTGATATGCCCTCTCTTCAGCCCCCTGGGGAAGTGGGGACGCCTGGTAGCGCAGTGTTGCTTTTGACTGGCCAGAATCGGTCACGGCAGTGCCACTGGGCTTTGCCCAGGGTGTGGGGAGCTGGGCCTGGCAGTTCTGACTCAGTGTCTGGCCCACTGCTGCCACCTTTGAGTTGCAGGTGAAGAGTGGGTGAATTGTGTAAGGACTGGGCCCTGGGGGTCAGGAGGCCCTGCAGAGGGTGTTACCACACCTCCGGCTTCTAAATTTGGCCCCTGGCTTCTCTGCTGTGACCTGTGTGAGAGATGCTCCCTTCTGACTGGACAGAGAATGGTGTCACTTGCTGCCACCCAACTCTCAAGGTTTTGCTGTGTGCAAACCAGAAGCTTGATGTACACAACAGGATTTAGCTGTAGTCTACACCTGAAATTTTAGGCTCTCTTCTTACCATTATTTTATTACTTACCCTCATCTTTATTTTTTTATTATTTTTGGTACTGGGGATCAAACTCAGGACCTTGTGTTTGCAAGGCAGGTGGCAGAACCACTGAGCTAAACCCCTGGCCCTTACCCTTGTCTTTAGACAGTGACTCGCTGGTTCATCAAGAGCAGACTTTATTGTCTTGAAACAGAGGCAAGGTTACTTCCAGAAAAGAGGTTCACACCTGCCAACCTGTCCATGTCCTCTGTAGCATCAGTTTAGGTTTTAAACCTTTGCCTGTTTGATGGGTCAAAAATGTTTTCTTTACAATATTTTATACTTCTTTGATTACTGATGATAAACACTGGCTTTATTATAACTACTTTACGAACTGTGTGTTAGTTTCCTCTATTTTCATGCGGGGCTCTTTACCTTTCTCTTCATGTGGAGAGCTTTGTGCGGTCCACCTATTGGCTGTTGTCTCCTTCCCCCACTCCTGGCTGGCATGGTGCGGAGAACGCGGGCCCTGTTTACCTGGATCCTCCCACGTACCGCCCGTCCTTTCCACCTGCCCTACCCTCTGCTCTGAGCAGGGTGTGGGGTTTTCAACACTCTATCATGCACCTTTGCCCCTCAATGTTACGGTGTAGATTTTCTTTTTTAACATTAATTTTATTGGAACATTTGGATATACACGATCATACTCATCATAGGGAATTTGTGTCTCTATGTGACACAGCGTGCATCTGCTTCTTTTCCCATTGCCCTCACCCTTCCACCCCACTTCCCCTCCTTATTTACAAAAGCTTTGTTTCCATTTTTGCCTTCTGTTCTCTCTTTTTGATCCATTCATCCGTTGATGTAGTGCCTTTTCAAATTGTTTTAACTTGTTGACTAGGTAATAGTTGCTCATGATTAAAAAAAAATTCTGGAAATTGTCCATGTAAACACAATTTTATTGTTTCTTAGAATGCTGTAGAGACTCAGGTCCTGTTTGGTGCCCCACTGCCTCTGAGCTCCTGTGTTACCCATTTCTGAGCTGCCTGTTATTTCAGGAAGGTTGCACAGTGATCGCTGCATGAACAGAGTGTGCCTTGACCCTCATCAGCAGTGCATACGTTCTTTCACGGGTCATCATGTATCGCTGGGATAGAGTCATAGAAGTAAAATTTACAGGACAGGATTTGTGCACTTTTAGTTGTGATAAAATTTTCACTGCCACAAGCTATCTGTGTGTGCTCATGTCTTCACACACACACAAACAATCGTCCATCTTCATGATTACCCCTATCACTGTGGGAAGGAGTAGCTAAGTTCTCGTTTTTTACATTTTGGTTTTTTTTTCCAAGGTTTCCATTATACAGTCTTCTGTTTTCCATGCTCTTATTGACCAGCGCCTATCTTGTGGTGAGAACATTCTGAGCATTTGGAGGAAGGCTGCTTGTGTCCCTCTTGTATCTCAGCAGGGAAGCAGGGGGCAGGTTTTGGCCCCAAAGTTGGCGTTGTCTTGTGAGGGCCTCACAGGCATCCTGTGGCCATGTTACTGGGGAGGACGGGCCCTTCGACTCTTTTCTGTACCCAGAAAGCTTTGTTCCCATGTGGAAAACACTTTTTTTTTTTTTTTTTT